CATAACTGCAACCACCACCACCATTCATCTCCAGAACTCTTTTCATCTTGCAAAACTGAAACTCTATACCCATTAAACCATAGCTCCCTTTGCCTTCTGCTCCAAGGCTGTGGCAGCCAACATTCTGCTTTCTGTCTGAATGAGTTGGGCTACTCTGGCTACCTCATCTAAGTGGAATCACACAGTATTTGTCTTTTGGGGGCTTATTTCACTTTTCATAATGTCCTCAAGATTGTTGTGGCATATATCAGAATTTACTTCCTTTTTAAGACTGAATAACAATTGTGAATAGATTTTTTTTACCAACCAATATCTTTATTAATTACAGGTAGTTATAGATTTGTTCAGAATTTCTGTTTCTTCTTGAGTGAGTTTTGGTAGTTTGTGGCTTTCTAGAAGTTTGTTCATTTCATCCAGATTATCGAATTTGTTGGTACTCAGTTATTCCTAATCATTTTTATTTCTGTAAAGTTAGTATTAATGTTCTCTCTTTCATTCCAGATTTTAGTAATTTGAGTCTTCTCTCTTTTTCTCTTGGTCAGGGTAGCTAAAAGTTGGTCACTTTCTTTGTCTTTTTCAAAGGACCAACTCTTGGTTTCTTTGATTTTTGTCTTTTGTTTTTCTTTTGTGTCATTTATCTCTGCTCTAGTATTTATTCATTCTACTCACTCTGTGTTTAGTTTGGTCTCCCTTTTCTGTATTTCTAAGCTGCAAAGTTAGGCTATTGACTAGGAGAACTTTTTAATTTAATGTAGGTATTTGCAACTGTACATTTCCCTCTAAACATTGCTTTAGCTGCACCCTAGACGTTTTGATATGTTGTGTTGTTTTTGTTTTTTTTGTTTTTTTGTTTTTTGTTTTTTTCATTTTTACTTATCTTGAAGTATTTTCTAATTCCCCAGAAAGATAATCCCCTGTGATTTCTTTTTTGGCCCATTTTTATTTAGGACTGTGTCATTTTCCACATGGAATGTCCTTCTGTTGTTTATTTCTAATATTTCTTTGAGGTCAAAGAACGTACTTTGTATGATTTCACTTCTTTCAAATTTATTAAGATTTGCTTTATGCCCTAAAATATTGTCTGTCCTGGAGAATGTTCCATGTGCACTTAAGAAAAATGTATTCTGCTGTTGATAGGTGGGGTGTTCTTGAGATGTCTGTTAGGACTAGTTGGTTT